GGAGTACTGGAAGACAAGTGCAACGCAATACACCCTGAAATGTGTCGACACCGACACTAACAAGATCGTTGGGATGGCGCTTTTCGATGTCTATATCACGCCTAGTGATTGGAAGAGAGGCGAGATTGGATGGCTGGAGGGCAAGGAACGTGAACGCGCCGAGGCACTTGTGAAGCCGCTTTGGGACGCGAGAGAGAAGCTGTGGCTCAATGAGAGATACGTCTACTGCCACGTCATGGCCGTGCACCCGGACTATCAACGGCGGGGCATTGGCGAGTTGCTGTTCAAGTATGAGATGGACATTTGCCGGCAGACTGGGCTGCCCATGTACATAGAGAGCTCAAAGCAGGGCATCAAGCTTTACGAAAAGATGGGAAGCAGGAGATTGAAAGAAAAGCTGGTGCACAAGTCGGAAGACATTACTCCGGAGAAGACCAACGGCGCGAGGGAGGACCAAGAGCTTCCATTGTTCGTCTGGCTGCCGGAAGGCGCAGAAAAGAGACTACCAAAGTCTGTGGAGCTGGCGTGAAACTGCCATGGTGGAATGCGATATAAAGATACATATTACGAACAAATCTACCCAAGCATCTGATGGAGAGCGTTGACGCGGTAACTCTCACTGCGTTGCACCAGTTCTTCGTGACGTCCTTGGTCCACAACTTTACCCGCCTCAACCAAGAAGATCACATCGGCTCTGGCGATCGTCCTCAGTCGATGCGCAATCGCGATGACGGTCACACCGTGACCCTTGACAGCCCGCTCGAGGCCTTGCTCCAAGGCCTTCTCACTCTCCGCATCCAATGCGCTCGTACTCTCGTCCAGCAGCAGCAACTTCGGCTTACGCACAAGAGCTCGAGCAATGGACAAACGTTGACGCTGGCCGCCAGATAGCTGGTTGCCCTTGGAGCCACACTCGGTATCATAGCCTTGGGGAAGATCCATGATGGTGTCGTGTATGTTCGCCAGCTCGCAGGCTTCTTGAATCTCTTCGTCGGATGGGGTGTGCCCAGGTCTCGCTCCTAATCCAATGTTGAACTTGATGCTTCCTTGGAAGAGAATGTTCTCTTGAGGTACATAGGCAATGTCATCGCGGAAGGACGCGCCGTGATGTCGAGAGATATCGAGGCCGTTGATGGAGATGCTACCGGAGGAGGGAGAGTAGAATCGTTCAAGAAGGGCCAGAACAGTGCTTTTACCTGCACCAGATGGTCCGACCAAAGCGCAGAATTGACCGGGCTGGATGGTCAAAGAAAGAGATGTCAAGACCGGCACACCAGGACGTGCTGGATACGAAAAGCCCACGTCTCGGAAGACAACCCTAGCACCACCTTGTGTGGTAGCTGGTATTGGAGATTCAGCCAGTGCCTCGATGTCGTCCTGGTTCTTCTCCGAGAGACTGGGGTCATCACGGCGACCCGCATCAGGCGTATCCTTGCCCAATTCGATTAGTCCACAAATGCGCGACATGGCACTCTTGGCCTTGGAGATCTCAGGTGCAAGCGTGAACAGCTGACCCCATAGCTGTGCGGAGACAAGCATGGCGATCAGGATGACGAAGAACTCAGTTTGGGTGTACCTGCCTTCGATGATGTTCTTGGTGCCCCACCAGTAGGCGAAAGCGTAAATGAATGTACCACAAGAGTTGGCGACGGCCAACCAGACGTTGGTCTTGAAGCTCTGCTTCACCATCTCCTTGCGTGGAGCCTTCAGCGATCGCCTGTAAGTTGAAATGATCTCCTCTTCGATAGAAAGTGCATGCACAGTCTTGATGTTAGAGACGGCTTCGATGGTAACACCGATAGAAGAGCTGAAAGCTCCAGCGTGCTTTGCGGCGAATTTGCCAATAGCACGCAACTGCATGAAACCGGCGCCCAAGAGAAGTGGTACGACGACGAGGCAGACAATTGCGATTCTCCATGCGAGGATGTGGGAGAGGATGATGGCGGCTATAAAGTTGACAACGACGGAGAAGAGTGTGCCAATGATGGAGCCGCTGAAGCCCGCTAACGATTGGCCATCCTTTGTGATGAATTCGAGGAGCACAGTCGGGCTTCTTGATTCAGACTCATGCCATTGTAGCGGCTGTTGGAGTAGCGTGTGTAGAGACAGGTTGCGGACTTTGTAGATCAATCGTTCCGACAAGAGACCAAAGGACGCCCAACTGGTGAAGTTGGCCAGGAAGGCAACACAGGCAAGCATGAACCACATTCCAGAGAGCAGTTCACCTCTAGAACGAACGTACTCGGGCGTGTTGCATGGAGACATGGTGCCCATGATGTTACCGAATAGAAGACCCGATCCGCAGTACTGGCCACCCACTACCAGTGCTGCCAAGAAAGCCAGCATCACGAGAAGCAGGTACGGTCGCGTCAAGGGAAGCATCGTCTTTCTGATAGAGCCCGCAATGACGACACCCTTGGTGTGCTCGACAGCTTCCGCAGCCTTGGTGTCATCCGCCGGTACAGCATCAGGCTCCTGCGCACTCAGAGCCAACTTCTCATTGGTGATAGAATCGGCATCGCGGGAGTCCAGACTGGTTCTTGAGCTGGTCGCACCGTCGTCAGATTTGACGCTTTGGAGGTGAACCATGTCTGCGTATGACCCTTCCAAGTCCATGAGTTGATCGTGGGTTCCTTGTTCGATGATGTCACCCTTCTTCATGACGATGATCTTCGCTGCAGCTCTGATCGTGGACAATCGATGAGCGATCGAGATCACTGTCCGGCCGCGGGAAGCCCGTTCAATAGCAGCTTGGATGCGCTGCTCACTAGCTGAATCTAGAGCAGCGGTGGCTTCGTCGAGGATCAAGATACGAGGGTCGCGGACCAGAGCTCGGGCGAGAGCAATACGCTGCTTCTGTCCACCACTGACGAGACTGCCACTCGAGCCAACCGAGGTCGCGAACCCGAACTCCAGGCGATCGATAAAGATAGCAACATCGGCGAGGTCTGCAGCATTCTTCACAAGTTGAACGATCTCCACAACTTCAGGACCAGCCTTCTCGGCGACTTGAGCAAGATCCTGGCCGCCCCTGACGTCTTCCGCAACCTGAGCGAGGATTCCGCTCAGCAGCGTTTTCTCGAGATGGGCATGAGGCGGGCTGTTGACGAGACCGAGAGCAATGTTTTCCAAGATGGAGCGATCAAGAAGTGAAGGTTCTTGCTGGACGAGACTGATGAAACCTCGGAGAGACTTGATGTTGATGTCTTTGACATTGCGGCCGTCCAGAACTACATCGCCAGATTCGGGGTCATAGAACCGGCTGATAAGACTAGCGACTGTGGACTTGCCGCTTCCGGAAAGACCCACGATAGCAGTCAGTTTACCTGAGTTAGATGGTCAGTCTACGTACTTCCATTCCGTGCCATGTAGGTGACGTACCAGCTTCGCATGTTAAAGAAATACCGTTCAGCACGGGATGATCAGGCCTTGAACTATACGTGAACGCGACGTTGCGGAACTCAACAGTCCCATCAACATGAGTAGGCTTCTCCGCGGATGACGAGGTGTTGTCGATGGTGGGTTGAGTCTCGATATCCTTGCGCAAGCGCTCGAAAGCTGATATCGCCCCGCCAAACAACGGCAACATCGGAGCGATCTGACTGAGAACGATAGCACCTAGTATCGGAAGTTAGCATCGGAAGAACTAAACGATCGGTAAGATACTGACCATCGAGCAGAATGAATGTGACGGTGTAGATCTCTCCGATAGTCGCACTGCCTTTGCCCTCGAGAGAGTCTGCGATTCTGCGACTACCCTGCCAGTAACCTAAGGCGCTGGCCGAGAAAGCGATGAAGTAGAGCAGACCAGCCTGGACCGCAGCGGTCGTGGCCTTCTTGACACCTGCTTCACGAGCATCGCTCAAATGGCCCTCGAACTTTGCCTCGAGCCTGGCATTTGCACCCAGCGCATGCACGAGGCCTACATGACTGAGAGCTTCGGACGCGATGGCGCTAGCGGACCCAAAGCAATCCCCCACCTTGGCAGCATACTTGCCAAAAAAGTGACCGCCAACCACGGCCATGAGCAAGAATGCAGGGATTAGAGAGACGAGCATGCCAGCGATCTCGGCATTCTTGATGAAGCCAACGATGTAGGCCGTGACACAAAAGGAGAGGCAAGTCAGAGCTACGCCAACCTTTTCGCCAGTACCACTCTCGATTGACTGGATGTCGCCGTTGAGTCGAGAAGACACTTCTCCGGCCTGTAGGTTGTCAAAGAAGGCCATGTCCTGTCGCAGCAGATTTCGGAGGTAACGGTCTCGGATGCGTTGAGCTAGGCGCTGTGATGCCAAGTTCCAGCATACAAGGTGCGTGTAGATGCAAGTGAAAGTGCCACAAGCGATGTAGACGAGCAACAGGATCTTGGGCGTGATGTTGGCTTCTTCAGACCCGTTAGAGCTACCTTCGCGGTTGTTGCATGTCGCAACATTGATCTCATCGACCAATTGACCGAAGACGATTCCGATGAGTGGGAATGGCACGCCTGCTGCAATGGCAGCTATAGCGCCCACGAAGACCAGTATCTTGTCGAGCCATGTCGGGTCTGCGTAGAAGAGGAGGTGTAGGAAACCAAAGAAACGCCTGATAGAGGCCCCAGAGGGCTTACTGAACGGCATTGAGCCTGCGAGACGTGGTTAGGAGCTCAAGAAGGAGTATCTCGCGCCGTATGCAGTGGTGAAGCTGCGCGAAGACGCCTGCATGAGGTTCACCCCCCGGGCGCTATGGCCGCGCCAGGAGGCGATGGCCAAGATCGACATGGTGCAGCAGCAGGGTCAACTGCTAGCACAGCGTGAAGAGGCATAGCGTCACGTGAAGAAGGATGCGTGGTGGAAAGTAGTGTGGGCCGGTGTGGTTCGTGTGTGGAGGCTTCAGGACGTGTCACCGAGTCACTTGCATTGGGTCTGTGCTCAAGTTGCATCAGATTAGATAAAATTTTGCACCATCTAGCGCCTAAACCTTGGAACCCAGAACCCACAGCTGCGCACCATCATCCCGCTCTATATCCTAGCCTGGACCTGTAGTCCGGCGCCATCCCGTACTTCAGATGACCCTGTCGCTGCCTTGCCAACGATCTCGCCGGCCATCAAGGCAATGTCCTTGGCCAATGCACGTCCGCCCTCTGACTTCGAGGACACCAGCCACAGCCGGCAGCCCTCCGCGACGGCGCCACGCTTGAACTGCACTTCCTCCAGGCTCTCTCCCTTTGGCCGGCAGCCCAGGATGAGCGAATCAATGCCCTGGAACAATGCTGTGTTCGAAAGCGGACTTGCTGCCGTATCCCTGATGATGAAGTCGGAATGTGAGCACGCGGCAGCAGCGTCCTTCCCAATGATGACGCGCAGTCTGAACTCGCCCTTGGACTGGACTAGCTTCTCGTACGCGCGCATGTAAATCGTCTGGATGAGCTCCGATGCTTCTGTGACGGAAGCTGGCTGCGCGTTAGTTGGTTTGGCCCAGATCGAGCAAAGTTGGGGTTGCGAGGGCTTCGTGTCGTCGAGAACCGTCAAAGGGGCCAGCGATTCGTCCTCTGTCACGACGGTAATGTTTCCTAGACGCGAGCACGTCAGGAGGTCGTCCAGCACCTCGGCAGTCTTTTCGCCTGAGCCAACAAGAGACACGTTGAGTCGTGGCTCATTGGCGCCTCGCAGTTCGTTACGCCTGCTGGGGTACTCGTTCATGGAGATAATCCGCTGCCCGGATAGGAAGTCGACAGTCGGTAATGGCTGCGCAGCTGGACTGCTCGCTCTTGTTGGGGAGGGTGCGACAAGACTCCTCGCCCGCACCACGTATGTCTTGCCTGCGCTGTCCTTGACGGCCACCTTCCAGCTTTGCACAGCATCTGCCTCAACCTCTGGCGCTACACCAACGACTTCGCTGCCATAGCGAACTTCGTCTTTGAAGTGCTCGGCGGACCACCTCATGTAGTCTTCGAATTCTTCTCGTAAAGGGTTGAGACGATCCGAGTTTGAGAACTCGATGAGACGTTTACGAGCGAGCAGATAGTTGACATAGCTGAAAGCAGTCCTTGGGTTGCGCAGGGTCGCCAGGTCGTACATGAAGGGGCTCTCCATTCGCGTTCTCGAGATGTTGGATGTCGATCCCCATGAGAAGGATTTCTTCTGCTCGACGAAAAGCATTTTGGACGGCGTCTTAGATTCGCGATTGGCGATGGCTGTGGCGAGTTGAGCAGCGCCAAAGCCGACACAGACAAGGTCGTAGTATGGCGATGAATCCGCCATGGGTGCGGCAGTCGCTGCGTCGCTTGCTCTCCTCTCAGTCGAAGTCATCTTGGAAGATAGTTTGGTCGATTTGGAGCAAGTATCGATTGTCGCTTTCTTGATTTGTACAGCAAGAAGTGTTTCAGCGCTAAGAGATATAGTACTACAGCGACATAACACGATTGCACAGCTCAGGCACAATTTGCAGACCCTGCGCACTGGCCATCATCAGGTATATCGATGCCCACGCTCGAAACAACGATGTCACCAATGGTTAGCGTCGCCGGTACTAAATGCGCGATGCATTTTCGTCCACTGACGCCGACCTGCATGGGTTTGTGGAAGCTAGACTCCGGCCCACATGGGGTGGATCAGCCACCAAATCGGAGCTTTCCTCACGCCACCTCTTGACCACAACCCTGTGACCTGTTTTCCTTGCCGGAGAATGGGTAACAAATCCACCTAAGCCTGCGTAATGCAGTGGCCTAAGCTATACCGGATATTGGGAACGACCTCGGTTAAACATTCACGCATCGTATTCTCGAGCATCTTGAGAGACTTCAAGCATCCGGGTTATAGCTTCTCGTCCATTGCTGTCGCATGCTCGACTGTATTTTCAGTTTCTTCTTCTTCATTCTCAGTCATTGTTCATCGCCATGGCGCAGCAAGCTAAGCCGGATACCGCGCAGGAACCGCTCGTTCTCAAGCTTCCTCACCCATACCTTACGGCATATACTGTCGCGAACGTGGCACCTAAAGGCCAGTCTGCCAGCTATCAAGTTCAGCTCTCGTCACAGAGCGATACCGGCAAAGGGATCGCTCCACCCGCAACTCTACATAACGAGACTGTGACGTTCAGCGACGTTGGGACTTTGAGCCAAGATGCTGTACCGCCGATGGGAGATAACAGTTCTTGGGCGCGCACTCGAAGATCTCCATATGTGACAGTTACGTGGACCCAAGATCGTCCATCTGTCCCGCAGCTCTGGCTCATCGCCTACGCGTTGGTCTCGCTGCATCCCCTAGTTGAGAACTTCCGCGTGCTATTGTCAGGGAAGGACTCTCAAGCACTAGCCCAAGAGCTATACGCCACTGGTCTCTTTCATTCGCATCCCAAGGCTTCCAACGCATCGGCGCCTCATGATGGCCATCTCCTCTTCCGAGGAACGTTCTGGCAGGGCGCGGCATCTCCATTCGGTGCTCGTCCAGTCTGGGCACCACACCTCGACGCCGCAGGAAAGCCGATCGATAGGCGATATCCTCCTTTTCCGTTTCAAAATGCGCCATCAACACAGTTCCCCGCTCTCCCCCGGCACACGCAGCATCCAGTTCGTGAGCCAAAACCCGAGCCGGGCTCGATCATCTATAGCCGATGGGTTCCACATCTCAAGGAGCACTTCACGATGGTGGCTCTCGACTACACCAATGACGAGCATCTCCGCCTATTCAACAAGTGGCAAAACGACCCACGTGTCGCTGCGGGATGGAACGAAACCGGTACCCTGGATCAACACCGCGAATATCTCCGAAAGCTGCATGAGGACCCCCACGTACTCACCATGTTCGCGGCTTTCGACGACATACTATTTGCGTACTTTGAAGTTTATTGGGCGATGGTAAGTCAAGATCATCTCCGATCTCGTACAACCTATGGACTAACACATGTCACAGGAAGATCACATGGGTGCTCACTACCAGTCTTCGCCTTACGACCGTGGCAGGCACTCACTCGTCGGCGACGTGCGGTTCCGAGGGCCATATCGCGTGTCTGCGTGGTGGTCTGGTCTAATGCACTACATGTTCCTCGATGAGCCGCGCACCTGGAACCTGGTCGGTGAACCCGCAGCAACGAGTAGCACGGTGCTAGCATATGACTTCGCCCACGGCTTCCACGTTGAGAAGCTTATGGACCTTCCTCACAAGCGCAGTGCGCTGATGATGGTCAACCGGGAGAAGTTCTTCACGCTGAGTCCATTTACTTGGGACGGCGAGAAGAAGGTTCGCCCAAGCCTGGATGCAGGCGCGAAAGCGAAACTGTGATTTGGCATTATGCGCTCCTTTCTCGATACCATGTAGCGATACCGATTTCCATTGATGTAAATATCACATGTCCATCTTCCAACTCAATGCGTGAGCCATTTCCCTTTCCGATCACGTCGGAACTAGCTTCCGACCCCAAATACCGCAACCCGGGTTTCGCCTGGAGACGGCCGCAGCATTGTGATGTGCATTAGACAGCTTCCGCATCGCTTTTCACAAGCAAAACTTACACCGTTGTACGACATTACATTCATCCGGCCGTTCGTATATCCCACACTAACCGACGACACGCACGTCACATATGACATGACCTCACGTCCCCTTCAACCAATTACAACCGTCTCACCCCCGGTCTCCTCGCTGCAGCCCGCGGATCTGATAATTAGCCGCAATTTTTTATCTGATCCGTCGGTGCATAGCGCACAAGCCAGTGCGCACCGCGAGTGGACGGCGGCATGTCTTCGACCGCATTTTGCACGCGCTCGGATGACGGTCACTTTGTGGAGATGGGGTGTGGATGCAACACGTAATAACGGCACTGCAGCGACACGACAGGACAGGCCCCGGCTACATTCTCGAACTGGTAGATCGCTACGCGATGGTGGATGTGGATGAAAAATTATCAGATGCACCGGCATGACACCTGGGCGCCTGATGGGGCAGGCCAGTAAATTATCTGATCCGCTGGAGGTTATTGCCCAGCCGGATACCAGGCGCTAGAGCATGCTTCCCACATGTGCACCTCCACATCCAGCGCCCCATCCCATGCCGGACGCCTTACTCGTACTTTCCATCTGATAAAAATTTCTTTTTGATCTGATAAAAATTTGCTGCATCGATGCACGCGGTCTTTACGAGAAAGGGCCCACCGATGTCGCAGCGCCCGGATATTGCCATAGCCTGCCTTAATCTTATCAGATCAAGATCGAGCGCCCGACCCTTGTCGGTCTACTACCCCGACAATGGTGGCTTCGCCGCTTGCTGTCATCGGTCCCAACATGCAATGGAAACGAACTACACCCACGGGGGCGATGCGACTTCGAGCGACGATCTTTACCTGCTGTGAGTAAGGAAAATTCTGCCCATCACTTGATGGTGCCTTGTTAGACTGGCTGCGGCGTTGCGTCCGGAAGGAGCAGGGCTGAGCGAGAGGCCGGCGATGGCGTGGGTAGTCGATCGAAACGTGAGTGATGGCCCACAGACGCGTCGTTTCGAGGGCTCCGGAGACGGCTTGTTTGGAGGGCGAGATGGGTTGCCCTGTTTGTGCTCTTAGATCCGAGCCATCGGCGAAGCACCGTCATTGAGCTGTTGTTATCGCTGGGTGCTATGGCCGAAGCTGCTACTTCGAAGGTTCATCGTCGAGTGGTTGATTGCCTATGGGTGTTGTTGTATACTATTGCTTCTTTATCGTTTTCTCTCTACGCCTTCCATCAGCTTAGTCGCCAACTTATACCCACCGTTGCGAACTCTTCGTTTTGAGGTAGCATTCGGATCGCTTTCCGCATTGGAACATCGTACTTCGACACGCTGCCTGCGAGGGAGCGACATACACACATCGAGATGGGAGAGATATACGACCAATCGCGGAATGACGCTTTACAGCGTCTGAACCAAACACTACTTCAAATCGACCCTTACATCCTACCACCATATCCCAATCTCTCCATCGTCGCAGGGCCATTGGATCCACCACTACTCCAACTAACACTCTCGCAACTGCTCCAGCGGCAAGTCGAGTGCTACCCAGACAATGAAGCCGTCGTCATTCCCTGGACAGATGCGCGGTGGACGTACAAGAAGCTATGGGAGGAGTCAAGTTTGCTCGCAAGAGCTCTACTGAAAGAGGGAGTGCGACCGAGGGATAGAATAGGTATCATGAGCGGGAACTGCGAGAAGTACATTGCGCTCTTCTTTGCGTGTGCGAGAGTGGGGGGTATCTGCGTTACCCTCAACAATACGTATACGGCGACGGAGATGGAGTATGCGCTGAAGCATACTAGTGAGTTATTCTGACGTATGACATGAAGGAAATACTGACAATAGTAGAATGCAGAATACTGTTCACCACACCTACAATCGCTCGCTTCGACAATGGGCCGTTGCTTGAGAAGCTCAGCCAAGCCGATATTAGCACCACGCTGCCGGATCTTAAGACTGTGTGCTTGATACGCGGCGAACACGATAGCTTCATCTCTTACTCTTCCCTTATCGAAGAAGCCCAATACATCCCCGAGCATATCTTAGATATCTTCGACGGCATAATAAGTCCTTATGATGTCGCGAACCTACAGTTCACGAGTGGTAGTACTGGCAACCCGAAGGCTGCCATGTTGACGCACCAGTAAGTGTTACCATATCATCTCAGCTGGCCCTTTACTGATGTATACAGCAACCTCATCAACAACTCCCGCTTCATCGGCGACCGCATGGACCTCACACCGAACGACACCCTCTGCTGCCCACCACCTCTCTTCCACTGCTTCGGTCTCACCCTCGGCCTCCTCGCTTGCCTCACACACGGTGCAAAGATCGTCTTCCCAGCCGAACAATTCGATCCAGTTGCATGTATGCAGGCTATCGACGCTGAGCGGTGCACAGCCCTACACGGTGTGCCGGCTATGATGGAATCTATAATGGACGTGCCACGGCCGGAGGGCTGGACCAGCGATCTAAGAACAGGCATCGTAGCGGGAAGTCCAGTGCCGAAGTGGCTGATGGAGCGCATGGTCAATGAGCTCAACATGTCGGACTTCACGTCCTCGTATGGGCTCACCGAGGCCAGCCCGACGGTGTTCAACGCACACACGACTGACTCTCTGCATGCGCGGTTGACTACTGTCGGCACGGTGTTACCACATGCGCGCGTCAAGATCGTAGACCATCAGGATCGCGTCGTGCCCATCGGCGTCAGAGGCGAACTCTGCGTCGCGGGGTACCAAGTCTGCCGCGGATACTGGGAGAATGCTGAGAAGACGGCGGAGCTCATTGTTCGCGACGAATATGGCGAGCCTTGGCTACACACTGGTGATGAGGCGGTTCTAGATGTGGATGGATACTGCACCATCACCGGGCGATTCAAGGATATCATCATCCGAGGTACGTGTCTCATTTTCGTCAGCACAACCCTTGAAATCTGCGAACTAATATGAAATCAGGCGGCGAAAACATCTACCCTCTCGAAATCGAAGAACGTCTCGTCGCACACCCATCCATCGCCCGCGCGATCGTAGTCGGCGTCTCACATCCCCGCTACGTCGAAGTGCCCGCTGCCTTCCTCCTACACGAGCCCAATACGGATAAACCAGATTTGGCTGAGGTGCAGGGCTGGGTGCGGAAGGTGCTGGGCAGGCACAAGGCGCCTGTGCATATCTTCTGGCTGGGAGAGGACTGCGATGCGGAAGTACCGTTGACGGGTAGCGGTAAGATCAAGAAGTTCGTGTTAAAGGATGTTGCGGAGGGTTTGTTGAAGCCCGCGGAGGGGAGGTAAGCACTATGTCACGTGCTGACGTGCCGCGGATGAAATTTAGCGTGTTACGGTTTCGCGCAAACATCATTGTTCTTATCGCGACTTCATCATCGTCTTTGCGCGGTTGCTTCTCTTCAGCTGTACCCACGTTACCGACTTCCTGAATTATTTTATACCTCTTGCTCAGACTCTTTCCTCCGCTGACAGTCGTGCCTTCCATCCACAACTTGACGCTCCACGGAGTCGCACAGTCGACGTCATGTCGTCGTCAAAGCTACACCATTGCTAATGCTTTGTTTTGGCTCACGCGACGCACCTGGCCAATGATGCGCAGGCTATTACATGAACCCGTCATGATTATTGACAGTTTAGGCATATACAACACCATGTACCTCCACGTGCAGCTCCCACGCTTCTTTCACCTGCCGTTAAGACATGTCGCTGTCTGCCCCTCGTCTCTTCCGTACCTCTCTCCTACGAAACACCGCACGAGTATCCTCTATACGTCTGGCTTCATATAGCAGACTCGCGCCCCACCTACAGCAAACACCGAAATACGCTTTCGCACGAGCGAATATGGCGACCATGAGCGGCGACGCGCCAGTAGCTACGGCCAAGACTTCGAGCCCACAGCACTTCATGTACACGAGCGGAGAGACGGATCCTGTTTGGATTCACCACCTGCCGTACAAGAGCATCCCCAAGTTCCCCAAGCTTGACAAGGACCTCGAGACGGACGTCTGCATTGTCGGCGCCGGCATCTCTGGTGTCTCAGTCGCCTATGAGCTGGTCACTCGTGGCCTGAACGTCGTCCTGATCGAAGGTCGAGAGGTGCTTTCAGGTGAAACTGGACGTACCAGCGGGCATCTCGCCAACGACCTAGATGACGGCTACACTGCGATTGCGAAGAAGCACGGGGACAAGGGCGCAAAGGCGGCTGCTGAATCACACACTTGGGCGCTTAACCGCGTCGGTGTGATTTCCAAGCAGCTGGGCATTGAGTGCGAGTACCGCCATCTGCCCGGCTACGACTTCTCGCAATACCCCAAAGACTCAAAAGACCATGCGAGCGACATCAAGGCTCTCATCGAAGACGGCGACAAGGCGAAGGCGCTCGGTATCCCCACAGAATACAAGGAAGGTTTCAAGCTCAAGGGTTGGGAGGGTAGCATTGATCAGAGCGATGCCGTCATATACCCACAGCAGGCGACGTTCCATCCCACCAAGTACGTTGTCGGTGTACTCGACTTCCTCAAGCAGCAGTCCAACTTCTCGTGCTACACCAACACGCGATGCATCGACGTGCAGGAGAAGGGCGTAGAGATCATGGGCATGGGCCACAAGGATGTCTACGTCAAGACAGCCGACGGAAACACCATAAAGTGTGCCGATGCTGTCGAGGCTACCTGTGTCCCGCTTCAGAAGCTGTCAGTCATCGCCGAGGAGGAATACTTCCGCACATATTGTATCGCCATCCGCGTGCCCAAGGGTTCAGTCGAGGACGCCCTGATCTACGATTCGGCCGAAATCTACAAGTACATACGTCTCACCGAGTGCGACGAGAAGGATGACTACATGGTCGTGGGTGGAGGTGACCACAAAGTTGGCCAAGCCGATACCGTCGCACCCTTCAAAGAGCTTGAAGAATGGACACGCGCCCGCTTCCCACAAGCAACCACAATCGACTACAAGTGGAGCGGTCAGGTCTTCGAGCCCGTCGACCACATGGCGTTCATCGGCAAGAACCAAGGAAACAAGCACATCTACATCATCACCGGTGACTCTGGCAACGGACTGACCCATGGTGTTCTTGCCGGAAAGCTCATCGCAGACTCGATCACTGAGCAACCCAACTCCTGGATCTCCGCCTACGACCCCAAGCGCCTAGCTTCCATCGCAAAGTCCGCAACCAGCATGATCAGCCACGACCTCCAGATCAACGCGCAGTACAAGCGCTTCGCTCAGTCTGACATCAAAGACATCGAAGACCTTGTACCTGGTGAGGGCGGTGTTCTCAACACCAACCCCACCAACCCGCTCGCTGTATACAAGGATGAGGGTGGTCAGATTCACAAGTTCTCCGCGCTGTGCCCGCATCTGAAGGGTGTGGTTTGCTGGAATACTACGGAGAAGAGTTGGGATTGCCCGGTCCATGGCAGCAGGTTTAGTAAAGATGGTGTGCAGCTTTGTGGGCCGGCGAAGATGGGTCTTGGGCCGGCGAATGAGAGTGGTGAGAAGATGCAACAGCAGGCTATCAAGGGTTGAGTGGTCGATGCGAGTAGTCTCAGGCGGCGAGTACGGTAAAGTCACTTTACGAATCGAAGAATCTATTCGAAAGTATCACCACGTTGTTGCGCTATGGTGTCTGCTGTGTAGACTAATACAAACCTCAACATGAGTACAGGTAACGCTTTTTGTGTCAAACCTCTGCGGACCAGTTTATGGCTTCAGAGAAGACAGCAAGCCACACCAATTGCCTCGCAAACATGCACCTGCCTCTTACCATCATGACAGAAAATATCATATCCTCTTTCACTGCCCTTTCACGCTCACCTCCACCCGATCCACTACAATTACACACGTCATACCAATAACAACGCGCACTCTCACTTACATACTCAAAATACTCTATGCAGGTCTTACCCTCCCGTCCCCGCTCACCACTTCCACACTCGCTCGCTCGCTCTTGCCGTCCAGCCCACTCCGTCCGCGCACCCAAAATGGCAACACCAAACCGCAACCGCGGCCGCAGCTTCCAACGCGTCGACCGCGCGCAAAGCATACTCTCCGACTCCCAAGCTTCATTCCACACACCGCGTCCCACGCCCCCACCGCCACCTACACGCAGCGGCCGCGGCGTCCGCGCCAACAGCACCGTCAGCGACGCGCCCTCCTCGCTGCTCGAACAAGACACACCGGGAAAGTCCGCGCGGAAAGAAGCAGCAGCCGCAAAGTTATCCGCACACTACCACTTCGCGCCCACAGTCCCGAACCCGTTTGCAGGGACGCTGGAGGCGGGGTTGGATGCGATACAAGTCTGGGGGAGAGTTCATAGCAACCTTGGGACAAAAGGACTGCATCCGCTCATCGACACTTTACTCCGGCCAGTGGATAACAAGACAAATTGGCCTGCTCTATTTACCGCACTTGAAGATAGACCCGCAGGTCGTTTCCGGTATCTATGTGAGGAGTTACTTTTCCTGGTCACGCGGACGTTGCTGCCGGAGGGGATTGTGCAGAATAGGGCGCTTATGGCTAGGCTTTATGATAAGAAGAAACAACTTGCTATGCGGTTGGTGCTACGGTACGATATGTTGAGGGAGTGGAAGATGGAGCACGGGGCGACGGGTCGCGAGATGCCTGTTGCGGTCGCTTCGATGCCGCCAACGGGAGTACCGGCGCCGGATCCGGTTCCCGTGAGTTTCCCGGCGAGGTTTCCGCATAGGCGGTCCAGGCTGCCTAATATCATTGCGACAGTGATTGCGGCGCCGGCGGGAGGGTATGGGACGCATGGTGTGATAGCGAGGATGAAGCATCATGTTACGGCTTTGGACGATTATCTCTTGTTGACTGATGAAGAAGTGGCGGGGTTGAGTGGTATCGCGCTGCTGGAGAGGGTGTGGCAGGTTCTACTGCATTGGCAGTGGTTGAGGCAGAATAACGAGATTCTGGAGGAGATGGAGGTGCATGGGTGGGAGGAGTTGGAGGGCAAGGCAGATGAGTCGGAGTGGATTGCTGATGATGTGAAGAAGAGTGCGCAACCTGGGAGTAAGAGAATGAGGGAGAAGGAAGATGAGTAAGGGTCGAGGATTACAGATGATTGCAGGCTGAGAGCTATGAGTAGGGAAGGTACTACCAGGAGAACTTGCAGATAAAGAGGTGCGCTGCGCATTACAAAGCGCCCAGTCGATGGACACTGCTGTTCTTGCTCCAGCGACGGAACGTCTTTCCTTTCCACCAAAAGAGAATACCAAACGAGCACCAGAGCGTAACAAGAGCCGCATTCGTCATAATGGGCGAGATAAATCTACCACAGTTAGCAAAGCTCTTCATGATCAGAGTTACGAGACTTACCCGACCTCTTCACTCCACGGTGTGATGAATTTGCCAAACCCGTAGCCCCAAAGATTCTTGTTGACGGTAATGGCGACGAATAACGAGCCTGCAACGGGCTTGTAGGAGTCCACAGCATATGTACTGACGATACCTGGCAGCGCTGCAACCTGGATACCAGCGCATGTGTAGCCAATGACGATGATAGCTTCCCAAGGCCACTTGCGCTCATAGCCTATCGCCACGACGATGTTACCGATAAACATGATGATGACATAAGGTATCATAGCCGGCAACCGCATCTCCGGCTCACGTATGCCATTGTTCTTCCTGGTGCTCCTTGCAGACACCCAATCGCTGAGCGGACCAGCAGTGAAGAGTCCGATGAATGCACCCACCATGATGGCAAAGTTTGTGAATCCGACTGTCATTGGCTTCATGTTGTAGGGAGGTAGAGCGAGGACTTGACTTTGCGTGAGGTTGATGGTGAGGAAGCTGGAGCATGACCAACTGACGACGAAAGCGGCGAATTCGACAATGGGGAAGGCGAACAGTTTCCACGGGATCCAAAGGTCGAGGAAGATGGAACGGAACGGGTGGGCGTTTGGTTGGAAGATCTTCCACTGCCATTTGCCAGGTTTGCCGCGGCCAAGGAAGGGGTCTCGCTGAGCTGTCTCGGACATCTCTAGACCGGCCGTGTTGGGCAGGACGGAGTTAGCTGTGTTGATGTGCTGGATTGGATTTGTCTCTTTCTCGCTGTCGGAGTGGTTGATGTCTTCCTGGGTAGTTGCTCGCGTCTTCTCTTCTAGTGAACTGGGTTTCTTCTGCCCCAAGTGCTCGGGCAAGGCGCGCTTGAACCTTGTTTCTGGGAACATAAAGACCACCATCAAGAATGAGAGGCCGAGGATGCCGGTATTGAGCCACCAGAAGCTGCGCCAGCCGACCGTCTCGGTCATCGATCCAGACACGATGGGACCGACCATCAGCGAGCCCATGTAGACTACCCAGTAAAGAGTGTTCCACTTCCCACGGTCGTGCAAGAAGAAGATGTCGGCGATGATCTCGGGCATGATAGTCTCAGCCGGCCCAGCGCCGATGCCATTGAGAATGCACGCGCCCATGAAGGAGTTGTAGGAGTTGGCCTTGGCGCGCCATATCGAGGTACCGAAGTTGATGAGTTGGGATGCGAGATACACCGGGCGACGACCGAACGATGTGCTAATTGGAACCCTAGCATTACCCATTAGTCTTTGGCGTCTGTATCATAGTATGATGCTACTCACCAGATGAAATTGCTAAATCCCAGTACCAAGATGCAAACACCAGTAAATTGGACTGCACCCGCCAGATCGGTGTTGAAAGCTTCTATCAGTGCCGGAAACATTGGTGCTAGAGCCAATGGACCAAATCCTTGCGTGAACGTGGCCATTGATGCCGCGATGATGCATGCCATCTTCCACCCGGTACTCCAATTAAGAGGATCGTTGGGATCATCGCTGGGTTGTGGAACGAGGACTTGGCGGTGCGCTCCTTTGACGAAGTGGTGTGAGCCTACATCTGCCATGACCTCCGTGCCGGGAAGGATCTCTGTGTGGAGCTCGGCTTCGAGCTGCCGGCGTTCCTGCATCGCTTAGCACTGGCGGTATCAATCATCTTGGGAACTTACATCTTCGTTATAGTCGTGTGCCTCCATCGTGGTCAACGCAACTGATGTGTGAGAGGCGATGATTGTGCTCAGACTAAGGACGCAGCGAGGTACTTGTATCGCGTGTTGTACGAGCAGGCGCACTTCGCGGGCCTATTCTGACTCAATCTGGAATGTCGGTGCTATTGCGATTCGACTTCGAAAACCAGCCGGAGTGCAAGTCAGACGTGGCTTGCCATATAGCGCGTGAAGATGTCGGCAGGATAGCACCGTGAGCACCTCTCGTGATCCGGCAATTGTAGTCGGAGCAGAATCCAAGACAAAAGGTTACTAAAATGTGTAGACAACGGCCGGTCGATCCTCCGCTGAGCGTCTGGGTACTTATCGCCCAGCCTGATTTCCAACAGCCAGGTTCTCCGCATCTTCCACACGTGAAGGACCTGCGTGCCGTCTCATCGTTGATAGCACATCATCTACGGCACATATTGGCGCGCGCTGTCCAGTCATGAGCCTTGAGCACGTATTAGCCTCTGTTTAACCCCGGTATATCGATTCATACCCATGTTCGCAGCGCTGTGATCTCGACCCAGGTTCCGGGATCGAGCGGCAGCGGATGAAGTGGGCGGCAAATGTCTTTCGAGCACGCTCAGCCACGCTGCGCAAGTTCGCGCGAGGGTTAAGCTGACCGCACGGGAATTTGATCGAAAGAGTGATGGTTTGGTGATCGTGAGTGAGGTTTGACGACTTGTGTAACTGCCGAGCCACGCTATTTCGCGCTACGTCACTAGTGCGATGCGGGGAAATAAGGGGAAGCCGCCACGAGAAGACTAGAACGCCGAGCTTACGACACCAGCATCGACGGTCCAACATCACGACAGGGAGCTCCTGCTGTTCTACTGATAATATCTTCGTTGTGTCTAGCCTATCGCGCAACCTCACTACGCCTCAGGCTCCAGCGGCGCGGCTCGTAAAGAGCATGTTTGTCTCCAGGTATCCCAGTCCTTCTACCGCCTATCCCTCTAAGTATTCTGTGCCTCAATCTTCGCATACGAACCGATCGTGTACTTTGGGGTCGTAATTCATGCGGCCTGTAGGCCATGGGAACTCGAAGTTAGCTATCTCGCCGTAGGCAGGCGGACCGAATTCCTTCCACCAGTGGCACGGGCGCTTGCAGAAGCACACAGGAGGACTGTAAGAGATGGTCAGAACACACACCGGCAACAACAGTCTCAAGCTGGAGGGAAACAGGACTTACAAAGGTCGCCGCAAGTAATCTGACATGATTGTCAGCCTTTCAGCGGAAAGGTTGTGAAGCGTACCATTGCGCTCATCATGCAGTATTGCCTCCCACTTAGTACGTGTGCTGAGTTTCACATGTCCGGACATAGTTACGGATGGTATCTGTCGAAGGTCCTCCAGCGCCAGTGTGAAGAACCAATCCAGTAGTGTCTTCTGACAGGAGATCAGGTCAGTAGGATGGCTCGGCAACGACCGAACCCAAGGGTCGTGGGAGAAGAATTGATCCTCGATACCTACCCTCTCTATCCATCGGGGGAGAGAAACCTGGAAATGCAAATGGAGGCGAGCTAGCGTCGGGATCTTCCCAAAGACTCGAATCAAAGCTTGACCTGGCCACTCCACTTGGCGTTGGTCATCATAGCCCAGAAACCTGAAGTAAATGGAGTTGGGAAAACCGAGAGAGATGTGACGGAGCCATTTGCCTTGTAAACTAGGCAACACCTCTATGAGCGTCCAGGGATCCCGAAAATGCGGCACAGTCGATGTCACGGTAAACTTGCGGAACTCGGCTCTTACCTGCTTACAAATGTACTGTATGTTGGTGTTGATCGACGCCCAAGGTCGTTCATTTCCGATGGGATCGAGAGAGTACTGAGAAGTCCGTGCGAATGCCATGCAGCGGTTAGTGTACGCTGTATACGTTGCCTGGCCGAAGATTCTCAACGGACTTCGCAACGGGTGTTCCTGATACCCTAGCTTTTTGTGAGGCCATATGTAAAGCCCAAGAAGCTGTCTGTATATCATCGAGCGAAGTTCGAAAGGCAAGTCCAACAACCTAAAAGCGCGGCCATTCGCCTGCCACCAGCACTGTTGGCTGTTGTCAACAGCACGTGGAGGTAGTGTCGCGAGCTTTGCCGTGAGCCAGTTTCCGAATGAAACCCATTGATATGAGAGCCCAATCTCTACGTCGCTCAATAAGGTTGCTACTGGACCGCATGTAAGAACCAATGAGGGTCGTCGGCGTATCTGTAATGCATTTGTCTTGCCAAGTTCCCCAGATGTATGGCGCGCGAAGAAGGTTCCGTCTTGAAGCGACTCCAAGGACATGTCGGCGATCGAGGTCTTCCTCCATACATCGAAGTCGATCTTGCGCAACTCGAGGAGACGGTCCCGTAACAAACGGTAGTCAACGAGCTGAGAGTCGTGTCAGCCTGGTATCTGAGTAACGTTCACGTCGCACGTACAAGCCCGGTCTCGTTGCTAAAGCCCTTGCATTTGCACCGAACCTCAACCCAATCACGTAGAGGACGCCAGCTACGGCGCCCGCGGACCTGGACACATGCTAGAGGAGATATGTCTGCTATGTCTGACTTGTTCGACAACGATAGATCATAGCGTATCTTGACGCGAGGGGTTCCTGGGCTTGTACCAACGAAGCTATAGTAGCCGGAAGAAACTTGTTGGGTCTTTCGCGGAGACACCTTGAACCCGACCGTCTTCGCGTGGAATGTGGCGCATCCGCGGCGCTTCTCGGCGATATACTCGTTGATCGTGACCGAGATCAAGCCCTTGAATTGTCAGTATTGCCATACATTAACCTTGTATGAGACGAACTTACTGCTTCTTCGACCGCATTTGAAGCTTCCTGGCGACTCGAGTGTTGTGACATTTTGCCGCTGGGTCTAGGGGTTGAGTACAAAGCAACTGATCATTGTTTGAGAAGCAGTGTTACGGACAGCGATTTTATACGCGGGCGCAACGAAAGGAGGAGTGTGTGGCCCTTAGGCAGCAATCTGCGTGAAAGGTCATGGTCTTCCTTAAGTCAGTGTGTCAAAGCTTACTCGGGACCCAACAAAGGTAAATTTGGGATAGAAGCCGGAAACTTGTGATTGCTTATCGGCGAGATGATCGTATGTTTCATAAAGCGCGTTGCGAGATTACGATTCGTCGGCTGCGAGTAAGACATATAGCCAAGACATCTACATCGCATTCGTATTGTCTGAACGTGTTCATTCAAAGATATTGTAGGCTACATAGTAGACGATGGTCTACCTGCGCCAGGGCCAGACTCGGTCCAAAGCTCCGTACCTATCACATGCTGTCATAGGTGTCATGACTTCTCAGTACCAGGAAGACTTCACAGTCGCACCCTCTCCTTCCTCAGCTAGGACACCTGTTGCACCACCGGCGGGAATTCGTGGAGCAAGATCGCCAGGTACCCACACCACAGACCCAAAGCTCACCCCATGAAACTTCCTCATGCCGCAGGAGTCGAGATCGTCACTGAGACACCTCGTATCTTGACAAACATGCCCATACATGCAGTCTACACGACGGCAATCACTGCCCATCACGCAAGGCTTCCTCTTTGCCATGTATCTAATCACCTCGTAAACCTGGCGCCTGACGTGCGAGTGATCGAAGGAACAATTGCTTCCAAAGCGGCATGAGCTCCACCCGAGATGAAACAACCTACAAGGCGGGGCGCCACTTCCGAATTTCTCTGCGTATGCTTGTCTGTCGGCGGGAGAAGGAGGCTCCATGTGGTAGTCTAGACGATGTCCAGTTTCGTTGACGGGTACATGGCCATTTTTTCCGTCTTGAAGATACGGAAGTCGAACGTCTTGACGATACGTATCTGTGGTATCGTTTGGCGTAGTAGGTTCAATGTCGCAATTACAGTGAGTGTTGACGTGTGAGAGACCGTGTGACTCGTCTTTGTAAGAAGCCTCAACGCTGATTAGTTTCTCTATGAAGCACTTGCGTATAAAGTGCGATGTGAGTGAAGAGAACGGGTCTTTTCCTGCGGGCTTATCGAAGATATCCGGGATGCTGATAGAACCGCACGGCAGCGGAACGAACTTGACCCCTGCGCCCATCCCATTTCCTTGGACTAGCGTGACTTTCTTGGAACATGTGCGCAGCATCGCGAGGTATACGGGTCGTCTCCAAGCAGCGAGGAAGATGTGTTTGCAATTTGGGTCGTACCGAGCTATTTCGAAGGCATCTAATATGGTTAGGAAAGACATTTCGAGATGTTCGAGTGTCACTCACTAGAGACTTTGAGCTCCACCGTAGCTTCGTCTTGAACGCCGATGAAGTCGAAGTCGGCGTCGATCGAGGAGAATTGAACAGCAAATTGCTGAAGCGGGCGAAGTATATCATTCTCTAACTTGGCCGAGTTGGCATATAGGCGCACAATCAGTCGAGACGCCCCGAGTGCTGCAACTGCGGATATCCCGATCAAGTAATTCTTAATTGCTTTCTGAAGACGACTCTTGATGTTGAATGGCTTGACTCTTTCGAACGCGGAGTAGATCTTATCGGAGGATTTGTAGTAGACGTCGTTACAGAACTGAGTGTAGAATTAGCAATTGATGTTGTGGAAGTGCTCGTCATGTTGAAATGTACTCAAACACTCAAACACGTCCTAGATGGCTACATTATCATCTGCTTCTTTATCTTGCAACGTAGATCGTCGTGTATCCATCTGACTTAGGCTCTGGAAAATGGGTACAGAGGAACAGCTTACCGGATGACTATGCGCATCAATCAGCACCAGTACGTGAGCATCGCCGCGTGAGTGGAACTTGGTGACAGTCTGCTCCAACTCCACCGCAGCCTCTTGGAGCGACGTCTTGGATCTTTCGCGAGGATCTCCGTGGGTCGATATGCTATCAGCGAGGCTACCCAGTCGCGCCGCCAGCTCAGCGACCTTCTCGGGGCTCGCCATGTTGTTGAGAAGATGAGAGAGAAGCCTCTGGGGCTGGAAATCTCTGTATGGGCGTCTCTGAGATCCCTGTCAAAGCGCGTCGCTCTTCATGTTCACCATTCACCGCGCCAAGGCGGTGAGCGTGCGGCGATCGACCGATTAGGAAGTCAACATAACAGACGTGACAAAGACGCTCGAATGAATCGCAGTCGAAAGCGGTAGAAGCAGACGGAAGCAATGGTAAAGAGAAGACATGGATGAAGGTAACCTATTGCCGAATTAATGAGTCTATGTAACAAATCTCAAGGCCCCTAAAAACGCCAAATTTGCAACGGTTGAGAGAGAGCCTCAAAAGCCATGGCGCAACGTCTGAAACACTGTGTATCTCGACACAGCGCCAATGCCTTCTCCGGTACCAAGACCTACGTATCAGCTGCCTTATAGCTGAGCATCTCAACCTTCGCACACATGGTTTAGATAACCCTTTCTCTTTCTCTTGGGCAAGACGCCTAGTTGCCTGTCCAGCACGTTTGCAATCAAGCACCGTTTACAGCTTATCAGGTGTCTGCGTCAACCGAGTGCGTAGCATGGCGAGAGGAAATCGAGACTTCGTTGGCAAGATTACCCAGTCATACAACAAGATGTCGTTGGGACGAATCTATCAGAGCGCAACGGAGAGAATTGCCCGTGCGTTTGCGCCCCGGTACGACAATCGATGACGTCATAACGCTGTCAAGCTCCGAGGTGGTGGCCCAAGCACCCCAGCCTGTCCGGCATGATGCCGGCTTCTCCTGTTTCACCGCGTCAGTAAGATCACAACGCGCTTTTCGATAAAACCGTATGTTATTGTCGCATCGCTGTATCGCACTCACGTTAGTGCTCGTGTTGCCCATAGTCCTTACCTCCCGAGGTCCTCTACCGTCTCTAGGCCGTAGTAGCAGGCATGCATCATGCTAGTAAGCCATCTGTCACATCTGTATGAGTGCGAACAGTAGTAGCTATTCTCAACTCTTCTACATTCCCCTATCGGCCTTCTAAGAACAATGTAGAAAGTAGACAGAGATGGGCTACGTGGTTCTGAAACCTTCTGCGATGCGCTACCTCGGCCTCACCGAATCACCGGATCACGAAGACTTGCATTCCATGTAGAGTCGCACGTTCTCCGTTCCGACCATGATGTCACAGTGACGATAGAAGTAATCACGTATTAGTGTGTTTCCCGCATGACATACACGACGTCCGATAACTCGTCCATTTGCCATGGCCAAAAAGAAACTGCTATACCCCTAGTTCCTAGGCTCAAGCTCCATGTCATGTTCTTTCAACAACTGTTGAAGCCTTATAAAGATATCTTCCACTTCTGTATCCGTTTTCAGCTCTACCACTTTGCCCATATCACTATATTTCTTGACGACATGCGATGTGGTAGCCTTGAACGTCTCGATACGTCGTTTGATGTTATCGGTGTCATCATCGGCTCGGCTGCGTTGCAAGAGGCGTTGTGTTAACATGACCTCAGGACAGTCAAAGACTATAACAAGATCGATGGGCCCAACGATTTCTTCGAAGTACTCTGCTTGGTCCAGTTTCCGTGGGAATCCTAGCGGCAAACGTGTTAGCCTCGTTCTACTGTGGTTTGGAACTTTTGAATGTACCATCCAAGAAGAACGTCTGGATCCCATTATCCAGAGCTTCCTTGATATGGCTCTGCAGCACTCCAACTGTGATCTCTTTCGGTCCGACGCGGCCATTGCGAATGTTGTCCTCGATTATGCTCGTGTACGGACTGTCGGGTTTAGCGGCTTCTGCCCGCAGAACGTCTCCTACGCTCAAATGCGCACACATGAATGTGGTTCGAAGTAAGCCACACTGAGTACCCTTGCCGGAACCGGGACCGCCGAGAACAGATATGATGCGCATTTTCGTGTCTGCAGCTTGCCTGAGAGACGGTGATGTGCTTTGAATCTTGCGCCGTGCGAGCTGAAGATGATTGTTTGCTCGTTGTCGCACTAGCCTAAATTAGGCACACTGCCTAAGCGCCATCAGGACAGCATGCAGCCCCTGGGGCGACACCTTGGATTACCGATGCAGCTGAGTCTGAGTCCCCCACGCTCCGCCAACGCAATCTAGCCCATGCGTCGTCTTGGCGTCGTTTGTTGGATTGCGGGGGGATCCCCTTCTTGTCCACGGATGTCACCACTTACGTAGTGCACTCAGTTCTTTCATGCTTCTTACTGACCATCTGCTACTGCGCAACATGGGCAACTGGTTTTCAAAGGCAGAAGTCGAGTCGACTGTCGATACTGTGTCGCTTGGGATGGTGGTCATTGATGAAATCCATTTGCCGCACCGATCGCCCTTGGTCGACGTAGCGGGGGGTTCAGGAACTTATGGTACGTATCCTACGCATGTGGCGCTCTCAAAACACTGACAGACCTGCAATAAACAGCAACACTGGGTAGCCGCCTTTTTGTCACCCCTGCGCGTTCGAAGACGGTGGGCTGTCTGGCTCTTGTGGGCTACGACTTTCCCAGGGCCGTGCGAGAGCAGCTATTGGCCTGGCAGACTACTCTGCACTTAAAGGTCTCACAAGACAGGCTGAGCACCAGAGGGCTTTTGGAGTACGAGGACGACACATTTGGACGTAGGTTACTGCCTTGTCCCAATGATAAGTCTTCGAGACTCATGATTGCTTAGCGAAGAAGTTCCGTTACACTACGGAGCCCTTGAAAGCATCCCCAATCGATTTGGTGAATACGCATCTACTTGGCTCAGAAGCGTTTCATCTTCTCGCACCAGCCGAGGTTGTTGAACAACAGATTCCAGAGTTGTTAAAGCTGCGCATGCAACACGGGTTCAGAAGTCGGCCTTTCATAGTGTGGGAGCCGTTTCCGGCATCCTGCACCACTCAGAATCGACCGTCATTTCTGAAAGCCTGCAGACTTGTGGATGTTTTCTCGCCCAATCATCTGGAAATGTCTGCCATGTTCGAGGATTCGCCCTCCAGAGGCTTTCAGCCTGACCGACTGGAAACATACGCACTGGAGTTCAGCAAGGCTACCGGGCCGCACGGAAGCGGGATAGTCATCGTCAGAGCAGGTGAGCATGGCTCGCTGACCACGCAAAATGCAGCCAAGAATGTATGGCTTCCGCCATACTACCAATCATCGGCGACCAAGGTTGTCGACCCCACCGGTGGCGGGAACACGTATCTAGGCGGGTTCATCGAAGGCTGGAAAGCCTCGCGAGATATAACCGAAGCATCTATGTATGGTAACGTGGCCGCAAGTTTTGCCATCGAGCAGATTGGTCTGCCTTCTTGTGAGGCGGGCGATGGTGAAGAGACATGGAATGGCGTTCGGGTAATGCAGCGCCTTTCTGAGTACAAGGAACAGCTCAGCTCCACATGAAAGAAATGAGGGAGAAAATCAGACAGTTCGAGAACGCGGTTTCAATAATCGATCAACTATGAGTTTGAGAGACATCCATTCAAAGATAACACACCTTCACTCTTTCTTTACCCTCTTTAGGTAAGCCTCCCAGCCTTCTTTCTGATACGACTGAACAGACTCGATAGGATTCTCAGCGGCGTAGATGCCCCTTCCAGATATAATGAAATCTGCTCCGCGCTCGATAGCCATCGTTGGCGTTTGGTATTGCTGGCCAAGCTTATCACCCTTTGTGCTCTGGTTGACGCCGGTCGTAAAGACCAGGAAGTCTTCGGTGTCTGATGGCGTTGACTGGGTCGGGATCGTCTCCAACGATCGATTGGCTATCCAACCAATGACAGTCCCAGTCTGCTTCCTCGCCAACTCAACGCACTGGACCGTGTAGTCATCAGTGGCCAAGCTACCCTTTGAAGTCATCTCCGCGAGTAGGATCAGAGCGCGCGCGTCTTTGTAAGGAAAGCTTTGCGCGTTCATAACTTGAGAGAGCGCCTCAACGATGCCGTCACCGCTCAAGATACTCGCGTTGACAATGTGGGCGAACTCAGAGATCCGAAGCGCTCCACCATGGTACTGTTTCTGAACTGTGGTACCAATGTCGATGAACTTGCGATCCTCAAAGATAAGGAAGTCGTGCTTCTTCGCTAGTTCATTCAATCCTTTCACGGTGTCCTCATTGAAGTCTGCAACTACGTCCACATGCGTTTTGAAGACTGCAATGTATGGGCCGAGATCTATTGACGCATTCAGTAATCTTCAAACTAAATGAACGCTTCTGAACAGCGTACCGTTGGCGCACTTCAGAAGCTCAGCTGATGTAGTAAGGTCTGCAGAGACGATCACATTAGATTGCTTTCTCTCAGCTGTTTCCAGAAACAATTTGGCTACGGGGTGCGAGTGACGAGCCGCTCGCTCTGAGTATGTGAGTGTTGAGCGCGAAGCCATGAGGTCGTTTTTTTGGTGACTTGAGAGTAAAAAGATGCGAGAAGAAGTGTGGTGGTCAATCGACGGAAGCAGTATGTGTAGGCACATTTGTTCTCGCTAGTCGGGAATAAATAAGGTATGATCGTCGGGGCTGTGCGGTGTTCACCGGTTCTCTTGGCCAACTTTACTGGCCGCCCCGGCTCGCTCCACATCCAAGGTTGTTTTAATGATTATGCAAGCCACTACTTGTGGCGCGGGGTACGGCGATCAACCAAGGCGAATCCCCGCGCTTATGAACCCAACTCGATAAGACTAAAGCGGAATACAGAGAGGTATATCTCGGGCCGCATGGTAGTAAAGCTTCCGTAGCATACTGCTCCGAGGAGCGGTTGACATTCAAATGTTCAGCCGCGTAAGGCTCCTCCCGTAATGAACAGCGCACATCATGACAGGCTGTCGCCAGCTGCACATTCGCTTGCTTGAAAGTAAGCATGCAGTGGAGTCCTGTTTTGGCGATCACACAGCATATGCCGAGCCCAGTACGACTGTGACTGTCCGTTCTTCAGGGTTTTGAGCTCTCCCCGATTATTTGGTCTGTTCCATCTTCAGCCTTCCCCATCAAGAACTCTCTTCTGCCTTCATTTGATACGAACGATTTAGGGAAGATATACATGTCGATGTTTTCCAAAGCGCAACCTGAGGCGTTGGCGACAGGCGAGCCATGGACGAAATATGGAGATGGTAATATTGCTATGGAGACACTGCTCAGGCAATCCGAAAACTCAACACTCAACGTTGAAGTGACCGAGGTGTTCCAGAATAGTACGTATTCGAACAAAAACACAGACATGTTGCTCGCTAACGTGGTCCAGATCAGTCCAGGGTAGAGACCGCCTCCGTGAAAGACGTACAGTCTTTAGAGACTGTCCTAACCAAACATGCTAGTTCTACTCTGTCCCATATCTGATAAGCTTGCTGAAACTAGTGAAAGGCCCCTTCTGATCAAGTCCTTCGAATTCTGTAAGTGTAACATCGACTTGTGCAGACTTACTTCATTGTCTCATGCAAGATTTAGAAGCGTCTCGAGACTGTCTGCACCAGCGATCAGATTGCTGGGCACAAAACTCAACATGGACTACGAGCTTTGGACCAACCGTCTCCAAAGTAGCGATAGAGAGTGGTTTGCTGGGCCCCTTCTCGAAAGAGGTAGGACAAGACATGCTCCCACTTATAGGTATCTTCGCTAAAGTCGACTAGGCGCAAAGGAATTCTCGCATTTCAATCTTGCTTGCGTAGAATTCCAAAGGGCAACACCTCAGACCCCTGATTACTTCACAGACAGCCGAAAGCTTAGTCATACGGTGCGTTTGATAAGGTTGAAGGACATTATGAATGGTGAGGTACTCTTGCCAATCGCCTTTGCCTCTACTCATAGTTCAGTCCAGAGTGTGTCTCCAAGACTTTACGTCCTCCGAAGGATCTCAGGTCACTTACGACGCGATGGTCAACTTTGGACGTTCATCTTTTTCAATGATCCATACGTGGACCTTAGCGCTGCCCATTACGCCCTTGACATTCCCGGAGGGGTGCAACACCCTTTGAGCTCGTGGATAACGGAGTATGTGAACAAAAGTACGCCGGAAGCTCTATTGAGGGATCTAAGCGTCGATGGGTTTGGACTGGTCACTCGCGTACTTCGCGAGATCAAATCGACTTGGAAGTTACTCTTGAACGAGATAGAGCATTTTCTGGAGCTGCTGGTGAGTCACGGCTTACCTTTTGTATCCTGTCTAACTAATGTTATTGTAGACAGAAGATTCAACGGACGACCAGTTGATGGACGCTGCTCCGTGGCTGCATCGGCGGTTTCTCCTGAGCATCGACTACTTCCAGCATCAACTTCGATATCACAACCGCTACGTAGACTACCTCACGAATGCGGGTACCCAAAAGGGGTATTACATCGTGCCGACTTCCTTCAAGAAGGATTTGCAGCAAGAGTATGACGCCCTAAAAGTCGTCGATCAGCGACTCAAAGCTTTGCGTGACCGTACGACTGCTGTATTGGAAACAGTAAGCTCCCCAGTAACCATCTAATGTTTTGAAACAATTTTGACCTTGTTAGATTCTCAATATCAATACTATAAAGCAGGCGAAACTCGCGGGTGAGATGACCAGGCTGCAGCGTGAGGACTCTAGAGTCACGATAGCCCAAGGCGAGACGCTGAAACGACTGACTCTACTCAACATGATGTACCTACCGCCCACTTTTGCCGCAGTATGTGTTACCTTAAATCCTGCAACCATGCCCCAGCCCGCGCTAATTAGGATAGACTTTGTTCGGCATGAACATTGCCGAGCACTGGTCTCTGAAAGCTTTCATCGGATGGGCAATCGCATTCATGGTCATAACGATGATTTTCGCGTGGAGGTGGAAAGTGCGGGAGAACCAGAGATTGGATGCAACTCAGCCGGTCAATTCCAAAACCAGCCCAGATTGGGGCTATCTTCGGAACGCTAGTAACAGGATCAAGGTGTGGAGAAAAGCTAAGGTGGTGGGGAACAGGGGCGTGCCATAACACGAACCAAGATCAACCTTTTGTAACACCGAACGGGTCTTTATAGAACCGCATATATTCCAGTTTGAGTAGGCACTTCTATCTAGCTTGCCAACAGTATCGTAACAAGCCTCTGCCAACAAAGAATTCGTCATCAGCTCTGCTCGTACGGCGATGAATATGATGCGCCATTGCTGTCGATTGGACGTGTCCTTTGCCTACGGTTCATCCTGGTGCATAATGACTCCATCCCAGCCATCTGCGGGCGTCAGCTGGGTAGTTCAAGCTACCCAATAGAGATGAGAAGCCTTGGTCACTTGGCTACGCCACTTTCTTTGCCTTGCTTCCGGTGAGAAGGAACATGTCGAGCCGTCGGCGAATGCAGGACGCATGTCTCTTGATGTCATGACTATCAATGTGAGTAGCATGTAGCGAGTGGCGCAACAGCCTGGAAGATGACACGAAAGACCTTTTAAGAGGGATATGCTGAGTAGTCTGCGTTGTTACCACATCTTTACTCTATGACATTCTCGTTATCTATCCTGTGACTAGCACTAGCACCTAAGGTTTTCCCCGCTACTTTGTTTCTTGATTGGCCACCTTCAGTAGATCATGCACGACTCGCTTTTCGCAGCCACAGCGGATGCCATGCTTGAGGATAGACCTATTGGAAGGGAGCTGTGCTTCTACAACCCCCCTTCCAATGGTAGTTCTCCCAGATACGAGACGGACGATCCAGCGCTTAAGGGTACTCGCAATTACAGTCACTGTCGCGTTGTGACAGACATCCACAATGCGCGAGGGCACGAAAAAGACTTCAAACTTTCCGTCCATGGTTTCGTGCTGCATCAAGGTCTGGACACCAGCAACATTGATTTTACTTCATCGAAAGCCATCAAAGAGTTGTATCTTCCTTTGGCCAAAGAAACCATCGCCACCTACATTCCGCACCTGGTCAAAATTGTGCCATTCGACATTACGACACGGGACGCTAGCGCGCAAGGGCGAATAAATCGACCTGTACGTAAGGTGCATATCGACCAGTCAAGACACGGAGCATATCTGCGAGCAGAGCACGAGCTGTCGGGCATGCCAGAGCTGCTGGACGATGTAATGAAATCGCGCGTTCGGTATCGGATCGTCAATGTATGGAGCCCAATCAATCGTGTCGTTAAAGATCATCCCCTGGTTTTTGCCGACTCGCGCACTATCGCCGATTCCGACCTGCTACCAGTGGCACAGATATATCCACATTACGCTGGCGAAACACTCGCTGTCAAGTACAATGTCGCGCAGAAGTTCTGGTATTGGAAGGACATGAACACAACGGAGGCCATCGTGTTCCAAATATTTGACAGTGAGGGGGAGCTCAATGACAACGGTAATCTTTACAGTGCACGTTGCGTTCACGCATCATTTTGTTTGTCAGAATGTGGAGAAGAGTCAATGACCAGGGAGAGCATTGAAGTTAGATGTATCGTGCTTACATCGAAATAATTCCGTTGTATACGGAACAGTGCCGAATCGTGGATTTTCAGTATTACCTCTACATTAATGACATTCTCTAGTCACGATTGCTTGAGTAAAGTGACCTGTTGTACAACGCCTGCTATAGCGAGCTCCACATGCAAGAATGACAAAGCTTGAGGCCGGTGTCAGCTCACTAGGCCATCCCAACGTTCAACTCGTAAGGCAGTAACCTCATCCTTTCTACCTCGCGAGCTTGGCTTTCGAAGCGAAGCCTACAAAAGTGACACTTCGCAAGGACGGCAAAATCCTTACCGCTACCGCCGTCTACATACTGTCACACCTATCTCCGCTTTGACACGATCACACGTAAGTGAGGCTTACGTCCGCGAATCGACGGAGTCGCGGAGTCACGGAGAATACTCCGCCGAACTTCACTCGCGACCCAACGTACCAAACTGCATACTGACGCTATTGTTTAGATGCCGCTGTAGAACGGAGATGCCGCTTTAGATTGGAGATGCCGCTTTAGATTGGAGATGCCGCTGTAGATTGGAAATACAGACTTCACCAACCCGTTCCCGAGAAGGGGATCCATGTAGCCGCGGGCTCAGCCCTGCCACCTCGTATCGAGCGCCTGTATAGTGTCTAGGAGGGATTCAACAGCTCTTGGTGTGACGATTCATAGCTCACGGACTAATCCCGCAGCCTCATCATGATGCAAGGCATCCTTCCCCTTCGCCTGCGGTAGATTCGGATATCGCTCGTGATGCGGCTGACAAGACTTAGGAGATATGGGGCGATGAGGGAAAACGAGGCTGTGGGCGTCCCGTCCTCGCTATCAGTAGCGCGCGGATAGGTAATCCCGAGCGAGCGATTTACCACCATCTTACAACGCAAGACTATCAGAAGCTTGAAGATGCAGGATTCGCCATTCGAGGGGCTCATGGAGCAACGCCGCCACCATTCATACTGGGGAATGCCGGGTTCCTGTACATCTGCTATTGCGTATCGTGCAGGAGGCTGAGGAGGCTCAGTAAGTCACGCGCCAGGGTTCCCAAGGGATGATAGTTGGATCGTCGAGCATGAGGGGTTGGTGAAGGCTTTGCAGCCGTATGCCTAGATCTCTCCCAAGAAATCCTGACAGGACTAATGCACGCACACATGCAGAAGTCTCAATCCAATGCGTCTCAGCCTTCCACTATAGGATCGCGATGATCAGCGCTCTATCACGTTTGAGGATCCCATTGGGTACCGATTGGGTACCAGAAAACGCTACCCCACCGTTGGAACGTGCATCTCCAGGGCTTGTTTTGTAATCTGACAGAACGGGACGCTAAAATCGCCGATCACTCCGCAACTTCCCGCTCTTGCACGTTTGCCCTGCTGCTGCCACGACGACCAAACGTCAAGAATACGTTTTCACGATACCTTTTAGGATGTCCGGCACTCAGGTCTTGGGCTTGATTCCGCTTGTTATTGGTACGAACTAAAACGACGACATGGCGGCGCGCATTCCGGTTCGATACGGAGTCGAATACCGAATAGATAGAGGAATGCCTTTGCCGCTTTGTCTCCTCAGGCAGCCTCGATAAGTATTCAGGAGAGATATATATAAAAGTATGAGCTCGTCGGTTTGTCAGGATGACCACATTCGTATGTCTCTTCAGAACACCTTCTGGTAGCACGTCTACTTCACGAGACACATACCAAAAAACAGAGCAACACCATCCTTGTCATTATCACAGCTATTCCACTTCAAAGTCTTTCACCAGGACGCATCTTTGATCCCAACGATGCCTTCGTTCTTAATGAGAACTTCACACGGTCTCATCAGCATCTACGACTCAAATCTCAAGAACGACCAGCCCGCCCTCCTTCTCCTACACGGCAACGCCTCATCCTCCAAACAGTTCCGCCATATCATCGAGTCGCCCACCATCAACAAGGGCTGGCGCATCGTTACTCTAGACCTCCCCGGCCACGGCTGCTCGTCCAATGCCCCTGATGTCAAGACAACGTACTGTCATCGTGGCTACGCCGACCTCGTTATACGTGTCTTGCAGCACCTCCGAATCGAGTCTGTGGTGCTCATGGGCTGGAGTCTGGGTGGTCACATCGCGATCGAAATGCTTCCCTGTCTCGCCCATGATGATCCTCCCATGGTGGAAGATGCACCTCGGATCAGCGTCAAAGGGCTTATGCTTATCGGTACCCCTCCCTCGCGTGGCGCCGAGCAGATGGCCCAAGCGTTCAAGATGCCGGCTGGTGGTCTTACCTTCGCGGGGAATAGAAATTGGGTCAATTTGGAGGCTGACCTTTACCTGAGACACGGTGTGGCAGCGGGCAAGGAGGAGTTCTATGAGAGGTGGATGTTGGAGGATGCGAAGCGGACGGATGGGCGCGCGACAGTCTTCATAGCTGATGCCGCGACTGGGACGAAGGATTGCCCGCCCAAGGGTTGCGATCAGAAGCGTGTGGTGGAGGCGACAGATGTGTTGATCGCGGTCGTGAACGGAATGGAAGATCAGTTTGTCAACCTGGATTATATCGATGAAGAGGTGAAGTGGAAAAGGCTCTGGAGGGGTGAGTGCTTGGGCTTATCTGGGCTCGGGCATGCGCCATTTTGGGAAGATGCGGCAGGGTTTGAGAAGGTGTTGGAGGAGTTTTTGGACGGTTGTGAGGAGTGGGAGGGTTCGGATTGTGATTCTGCTGTAGGTATTTAGTCTACCATGTTCATGGTTTCTCTCCATGTACGCAAATCACTGATACCTAATGCATATGTAGTATCCACTACTGGTTCTTGTTGAATGTGCTGGTTCTATAACGCAGGCACGGCGCGGCTGAGCAACACCGTAGATAGTCGCAATGCAGGTGTATTTCCCAAACACCTTTGCTCACAGTATATAGCAGGTAGTATCCGCTATAATCCCATCATAGTTGTGAGCATGTGCATTGGAACGCCACATCGCATACCATAACGTCTACTAATTGCTGACAACCATCTCGATACGAGGACATGTGATCGCAAGTTCGCTTCTGGCGAGGTTTGGATGGGGCGTAACTAGTCAGTGTCCATGGAAGCGCTAGGTCTAACATTCCGAAAGCTAGATCCCTGTACACGTCCCGCCTGATCTACGCATGTCTGATCTAATTCTTACGACCTAGCAGGGCGTAGTCCCACTCCTCTTGGTACTTTCGGAAGAAATCCCGCTCACCAATAAGGTGCTTGCCCATGAACGCCTCCCAATGCTCGCGCTTTTCCCCACCCTGAGTCATGGCCTCGAGCTCTCGCGCTCTTCGCATGCGAACCAACTTTTCCGCGGTCTGCCTCAGCATCTGTTGTGGGGCGGCATATTCATTGACACTCCTATCAGGCTCTTGTCGACTCAGGTACACCTCGGTGGCAGTGTTTATAGTGTTCAAAGTTTTACCACCCGGACGCATAGTCTCGTGTCCGCCTGTGGAGAGCATCATCCCGGGTTCCCATTGATCAGCACCTATCTTCTCCAAACCTCCCGTGACTTCGAAGCGTTTATACCACGTGTGTCCACCCCTAGCAATAGTGCGCATCATCTTGTGCCGGTCCTGACCTTCCGTGTATTTGATCAGTGTGTTTTTAAATACGGCTAGTTTTCCCGCATATTTGTTCAGCGCGGACAGCCTGATCGGTAAGATTCCCGAGAGGGAGAGGTCATCCGATTTGGAGCTAGTTTGTCCAGCTCCAATAGACAGTAGAAGTGAGGGTTCGTTATCATCTCCCCAAAGTGAGGCGGCCTCGGAATAAGCACAATAGCTAGGGTTATTCTCTCGTATCCCACCATCTTTCAGACCCAAGCGACCGTCGGGGCCATTTACTACTAACATGTCGAAACGGAATGGTGTAGCAGTGGTGCCGCGACCTACTTCCCACGTGTTAAGGTCGAGAGTATCTTGGTTGTATGGAGTAACCCAAGGAGGGGCAATATCTGGGTCGTAATGATGACTGTATGTACGCAATAGATACGCTTCGTCTAGCTGCCCCGAGCGGACAGCGGCCAAGCATATTCTACATTTTGTTAGTAGTTATTATGCTTCGGTGAATTCTTTCCCTCGTATGTAGGACTCTTCGGCTACAACCGCAGTAAAGCGGTGTACTCACGTTTGGCAAAGGTGATATTCCGGGGTCTGGGCCTCGCGCGCACGGAGTTTAGACTCTCTGGAAGGACGATCCCGCCATATACTCAGATTACTGGAGTCATCCGAATCGTCTGAATCGTCTTCGTACCCTTGATCATCGTTGATTGGTGCACGCCACCGGAACTTGTCTTCTTGGCTGCACTGACCCAGTTCGTGCTGTTTGCAGTACTGTTGGGCCACTGCTTCAAGGCCCTTTCTCATGGGTATATTGTGATACTTCTTGACGAGAGTAACCCGGGTACGGACGTGTGTGTACATCTCGCTCAAAATTTTGTCGAAAGCAGTGATCGTTTCGCTTACGGTCATGCGCAGTCGACTCAGTGCGATGGCTAATATCCTGTGATGATCTGTCAGTTTAACTTCGTATGGAATGACAGCTAGATTAGAGGGATGAAATATGTGCTAAACGCGTATTCCATAGCAATACTTACCCTCCCGTCGATGTGCCATACATCTTGTGGAAGTAATGGCATGGACGGAAATCCGCAGCCTCAAAGCTCCTGGGATAATGTGTAAATTGTCGCTCGAACCGATTCTCACAAGCGATGACCTCTTCCATAAGCGCCTTAATGATCAAAAGACTCGACCACGACTTGACCCCACCACCATCTGGTATTCATGTTAGCGATCGCTCTGCAAACACTGGCTAAAGTACAAACCGAGAGTGAGTAGACATTCTCCTGTCCCATCCTCCACTGATCTCGACCATTTGGTCCCCGTTTTGTCTGCTTGAGAAGGTGTGTCATTGTTCACTAGGCTCAACGGTCTGTCAAAGTTGAACTCTTTCCGTTTCTCAGTATTAGTTGGAGACTCTTCGTGGTACACTGAACGGAAAGATGCGCTATCGTTGGATCCCTCCTCTCCCTCGGTCTTAGTGAAGGGTTCCTCGCTGCTGAGGAATGAGCGGACTGATGCGACGTCGTTGAGTTCTTCGTCTGGATCAGTCTTACTGAACAGTAGCTTGTCTAACACTGAACGCAGCGATGCTTCATCGTTGATGTTGTTGACCACCTCACTTTCAGTGCTGGCGATGTTGTAAGTTTCAGACAGACGTAATGTTGGAACTGTAAATCCAGATGGCGATGCTTTGGATTCGGCTCCTTCCACGATCCAAGGATCAGTATTCTCCAGGAACGTATCCTCCAATACAGCTACAATGAGGTGACGATTGTTTCCGACGAACTCTGTAGTAAAGCCTGCTGTTCGTAGAGATCTCTCTATTTCTAGCCAGACCTGTTGTTCGTCATCTGTAATTTCTGGAGCCGTAGCAAAGCTGCTAATAGATGGAGCCGTGACGAAGCTACGAATGGATGGGGCCGTAGGGAAACTGCGAATGGATGGTGCCGTAACGAAGCTGCGAATGGAAAAAGCCTTATCTGTACTTGTCAGGCTGTTCACCAGCTGAGTGAGAGTCTCCTTGATGGTACTGTAGTCTTTCTGGGCCTTGCGGTTGCTGACGATGTTAAGATGCGATTGCAGACTTGTGAGCCTCGACCGCAAATCCAGAACATTTTCGCCAAAGGATGGAGAAGGCTCGTATCCTCCAAGTTCACCTTGCTCTAGCGTCTCTACCAGTAGTTTGAGCTCTCGCAGTATTGAAGCGCATTCTTCTGAAACTCTTCCGAAGTGTAGGTCGCTGGATAACACGCTGGTGTCGAGCGTATTTGCATAGTCTTCAGTGTATTTCGCAAATACACTCAAAGCCTCTAGGCTACCGAGAAGTTTATGAGAGTTGTTTGTTTCGTTGCAACGACTGCTCAAATGTTCAGCGACCTGTCGTATCTCGGTGATCTGGTTGATGGTGATGTCCCTGCCTGCCGTGATGTCGCCTTGGAAGACGGCGCCACCCCCGCTATCCACGGTTCGGTCCGGCGGGTCCATTCGTGCGCAAGGAGCTTGGCTGAGGTCTTGCAACCATCCGGAAAATTATTTAGAGGCTGGCGGCGACATGCGATCCATGAATCGGTCTTGATAACGTCTGGGATGGAGGTGTTCTTCTGGGTGTCCTCACAAGGTGGGGTCAGGCTGACGGCGTATCGCACACCTTGCAGCTGGCTTGGTCAGCTCAGCTGCAGCTGCGGCTGAGGCAATGCAGATGCTGGCCCGCCATCGGTTTGCTTGACTCATCCTTCGGAGCCTGTTGCGCATAGCTTCGAAAGCTGTGGAGGTACCAGAAATGGGTTTATTTCGCCGTTTGAAGACGAGCGGGAAGAAGAAAAAAGGGCCAGCGAGCGACAAGCAAACCGAGGAGCCACCAGAGCAGTTATTCTCGACAGCAGGCGCATACGGACTCAAAACGGTAGCGGAAGGAGCGACTGATACCGTAGAGTAGGCGCCCAGCCTCACCATCACATTACACCTAACACATGCCACAGTATCGTATTCGTTCATGGCCTCACTGGAAACCGCGAAACCACATGGACGTACAAAAACTCCATCTTTTGGCCCAAAGACCTGCTCGCGAATGACCTCAAACACGTGCGCATCTTCACGTTTGGCTATGACGCAGATGTGGTCAAGCTCCTCAACATCGCGGGTGGAAACACCGTACGCGACCACGGCAAATCTCTCGCGCAAGACCTCTCCTTGCGAAGAGCAGAAACGAACACAGTACGCGAATACCAAGTCTAAGACCGCCTTCTTTACTAACTGGCAATAGAGCAACCGTCCCGTAATCTTTATAGCCCATAGCCTCGGCGGCCTCGTCGTCGAACAAGCCCTCCTAATCTCCCGCGGCACGTCCCAACTGCACGTCAAAACGCTACTAACCTCCACCTTCGGCATCGCCTTCATGGGAACCCCCCACCTAGGCTCCCGCAAAGCAGACTGGGCCGCCCCACTGACCCGCCTCTCCTCTCTGGTCCTCAAAACCAACAAAGCCATCGTCGCAGTCCTAGAACCAGCGTGAGTAACACCATACAAACCCCAGATTTGAGACAAACACTGACTACACACATCACTGTTTAGTTCAGAAATGCTATCAACCCTCCAACAAGAATTCCACACCCTCCTCGAAGACCGGCGACGCAACGAAGGGAAATGGATCGAGATATTTTGTTTCTACGAGGAGTTGAGCTACGCGGGCATAGGAGATATTGTCCCACGACAATCGGCGATTTTGCCTGAGTATCCTAATGCTAGTATCCATCAGAATCATTCTGATATGACAAAGTTTAGTGGAAAGGCGGATCCGGGGTATGTGAGGGTAAGGGGCCAGTTGTGGGTGTGGGTTGAGGCGGTTAATAAGGGGATGGCGGTGGCAGAGAGGACAGGAATAAGCGATGAGGAGAGGACGCTTGGGGGGCGCGAGGATGGGGTAGAGCAAGCGTCTAATGCAGCACAGAGTGTGTCTGAGTTGGAAGACTCGGTTGAACCTCCGCAACAGGCACAGCGGGTTGAAGGTATACAAGAGATCGGGAGCAGTCGGACTGGTGCTGTTTTATCTGGAGGCGGCCCGGTCTTCATGGGGAATGTTAGTGCTGGGCGGGATTTTAGATATAATCAACATTCGTAAACCAAAGGATAAACTCTGAATGGATGCCGACATTCGATCGATTCGTATCTGTTCGATCCGGTCTACTTCTTTTTCTCCTCTTCGTCGTCCTCATCATCATCATCATCCTCTTCCTCATCACTATCTTCTTCATCCTCATCATCGTCGTCATCATCATCATCTTCCGCATCCGACACTTCTTCTCCAAGAGCCTTAAGTCGTTCCTACAATCATTAGCCCCATCTCTCATCAACTTTTCCCCAAAGTGTAAACAACATACCTTGTCTTTCGTCCTCTTCTCCTCAAGATCAGCCAGCACCATAATGAGATCCTCCAACTCAGTCGCCTTCTCCTTCTCCGCTTCTTCTGCTTTACGCAGCTTCTCTTTGAGATCTTTGAGTTCCTTTTCACTTGCGCCTCCCGCCTTGCCCTTCTGAGGGATTGACTTCGCAGCGGCGGCGGCAGCTTCAGCTTTACGCAGTTTCTCCTCCGCTTCCTTGACCTTCCAGGTTGAATCTTGAGCCTTGGTTTTAAGATCCTGGTTCTCGGCCTTGAGCTTGTCGATGGTGGATTGGAGGGCTGACTTTTCGGATGTGGATTGCTTGAGCTGAGTTTCGAGTGTGGATTTGGACTGCTCTGTCTCTTCTCTGAGTTGTTTGAGTTGAGTCTCTTTCTCTTCTTCGAGCTCTCTGAGTTCCGTCTCCTTTTCTTCTGTGAGTAGTTGGAGCTGTGCTTCGCTGTTTTGGACGTGCGTTTGTGCGTTGCGTAGGGATTCGGTGATGGTGGCGACTTCGGTGCGGGTTTGTATGAGTGTGTGTTCGAGGTTGCGGATGTTCTCGATGGCTTCTTGGCGGGCCTTCTCTGAGGCGCCCAATCGACGCTCTAATTCGGTGCGTGTTCTATGTGCGTCGTGGAGCTGCTCGTCGTACTCTTGCCTGACCTTTGCGATGGCGAGGTTGGCGTCCTTGCTCGCTTGTTGCACCTTGTTGTTAAGCGCCACGATTTGAAGATTGTACTTGTTCTCCATCTCCAGCATAGCTTGTCGGTGGTCACGGTCCTTCTTTGCAACTTCCTTGTCGAGGTCGTCGTGCAGTTTATCATTGATGCGCTTCAGGGTGCTGCGTTGCTCCTCGGCTGATTGCTGGGTCTTGCGATGCTCGGCCTGCTCCTGGTCTATCTTCTGCTCCAAAGTCATGAGTTGTGCTTTAAGCTCTTGGATGGTTTGCTCCTTTTCGTTACTCTCGCCACGAAGTGCATCAACTACATCTCGATCAACACCATCGTGTGATTGATGCTGCTCAATGTTTGGGTTGCGATCGATCGCCCGAGATAGTCGGCTAAAGTTATCCTTTAAGAAGTCTACAAAGGCTTCGTCGAAAAAGATGTCTGGCAAACCACCACCTCCGCCGGCAGTCCGGGGCAAGACCTCAAAGTCTCGTACGAGCGGATGACGGCGTAATCCAGTGATGGCGTCTAGGTATTTGTCACGACCGAGTTTCGTCATGAGTACTGGTTGTAGTTCGCGTCGTGGCACAGGTGAGTCCCTCGTTGAGAATTCGTATACGACTCCTAGCAGTGCAGCACAAAGACCGCGAATCATGACTCGGTCTTCTCCAGGGGTCAGGACGGCTTGTACCAGACTTTGCAGACTGCTGGCTTCTCCCAAGAAGTCATCTACTGCAGCGGCATCCTCAAATAGCCAGCCTAGCAATAGCATTAGATAGGCTACCGATATGCGCTCATCTTCCCCGAGTTGCAGGCTTGCGATGAGATTCGCCGTAAGCGTTTGTATGCACGTGACGACCTCTTCACCGCTCTCTGCATCTCCTTCCTTGACCCCCATAAGAGTGTCTTTCGCTTGATAGTCATCAAAGATGAGGTGGTAGATTAGATTTGAGGCAAACCAGATTCTGTATGGGTCGCCAGTTGGGGGAACCTGGGGTCCGGCCATTAAGATGGTAAGAGCGTTGGCTGTTTCGTCGCCGCCTTCGTGACCACCGATGGCTCGGTTGAGGAAGTGTTCTTGTATCTGTCTGTGATTGTAGAAGTAGGCCTTGATGCACTCGCATCCTGCATTGCGCAGGTCGAACAGGTCGTTCGGCGCCGGAAAAAGGACCAGGTTCAGAAGCGCTTCAATAACGTATACGGAAGGTACGCCGTTGGGAGAAGTGACGCCATTCGTAGGGGGCTCAACAATGGGCCTGACCTGCTCTTGAGCGAATCCTTCTTGGAGCCGAGCGTTGCCTCTAATCAGATCCGCGCACGTGTTGAGAGCCTCGATCTTGATAGGCATGGCGGTTGCAGGGTCGAAGGCGATGTTCAGCAGTTGGCGGACAAGGCCATGCTGCTGGAAGACGTTCTGGTTCTGCAGTGTGCCCGGACTGCCCTTGACGAGGAACATGCGCATTATGGCAAGCAGCCCCCAGATGTTCTTGTCGCTCTGCGGACTGACCCATCCATCCTCTTCTTCAGCACTTGCGCGTGCCTTCTTCGGCTTGTTGCCGCCGGGTAGCAGCGCGGCAAACCTCGCGACATGGCCCATCTCTCGTATGTTCGTTTGGTTTGACACGTTGAAGCGTATGAGGATAGCCAGCAGACTCAAGCAATCTTGAACCACAACCCCGCCCTGAGTGAGGCCGCCATCGGCATGTATCATGTTGAAGACCTTGGTAAAGGCATCCTCGAAAACGAAGAGCTTCTGAAGTTCGGCAGAGGTTCGGGACAGGTCGGTAAGGACGACGAGGGCTTCGTTACGGATGGCATCGCGGGGGTCGTCCAAGGTGGCTACCAGGCGCTCAATGCCGCCGGGGGCTGTGAGGACGCATTCCTGGGTTCGTTGGGGGCGGGCGAGGGAGATGGCGCGTATCAGTTGCAGCGAGTAGAGGCGGGAGTAGAAGTCGGGCTTGTCTAGGAGATCAAGCAAGAGAGTGATGTTGTCTTGCCGCTATCATAAGCTCAGCACTAGTAGATGTGTAGCAGGACAGGACCTACTTGTGAGAACTGGTCGGCCAGCAGCAACTCCAACTCTTCCGAGGCCTCGTGACTGGTCTCGTCGGGGTGGAAGAGCATGAGCAGGGTCTCGAGCACCACCTTGAGCGTGTCGACGTCGTCGCCATCTTTAGTCAGCGAGGCGATGAGCCCTTTGAGCGCGCCCGAAGCGACCGAGGCGGGATATTGTTTGGCGAAGCTCCGGAGGCCGAGAATGGCAGCGCGACGGTCTTCGAGGAGGCTTGCGCTCGTCAGCCTCCCACTAAGAGTGCTGATGGTGTCGGTTGCCGTCTGCTTCGGAGGCGCATTGGCCTCGAGAACGCGCATCATCTTGGGGGATTGTCAGATCTATGGCTTCATGGTAGATAGGTGGACAGTGTTTAGTCATGCATGCGACTCTCCCATAGGCAACGTAGTCGTCCCATTGTATCGAGGCCTCGTGGTGTGGAGCTCCACGTATAATTTGGCGCACGGGCTCGCGGCTCCTCCACATCCCTGCCGCGTCGGCGAATCGGCAAAACCGCGACCTTCAGGGTCCCGGCCGCGATGCTAAGGAAAGAGCGCGTCTTCCATCGCCGCTCCCTCTCCCTCTCACTCTCCATCACCACCTCCCATCAACCATCGTGCGCAAATTCGGTGATCGCGCGCCCACGGAGATTGCGGCACTATCACTCATATCGCCGCACCGGATATCGCATCCGGCGCTTCAAGAGGAGGAAAGGGCTTTCATCGCCATCAGGCAGTCTTTTTCTTTCCACTGCGCATCGTCGCAGCACTACCACACACTCCAGACTACTAGTACACGCGCTCTCGCACTCGTCGCAATCGCACTCGCACTACTACCCTCCAGCTACAGTCTCACTATAGCCACCCTTCACCCTCACACGTCGCGCGCCACCGAGCGCCTACCGCCATCATGGGTGTCCCAGCCATGTTCCGCTGGCTTAGCCAGAAATACCCCAAGATCGTCTCAACTGTGCAGGAGGAGTTGCCCAAGAAGGTCGGCGACAACGTCATACCTGTAGACCGCACCGGCCCCAACCCCAACGGCGAAGAGTTCGACAACCTCTACCTCGACATGAACGGCATCGTGCATCCTTGCTCTCATCCCGAAGATAAGCCCGCGCCCAAGACCGAGGCCGACATGATGATGGCCATCTTTGAATACACTGATCGCTGTGTCGGCATGGTCCGTCCTCGTAAGCTTCTCTACATGGCAGTCGATGGTGTTGCACCTCGTGCCAAGATGAACCAGCAGCGTTCGCGTCGTTTCCGCGCCGCCAAAGAGGCAAAGGAAAAGGACGACGAGCGCGCTGAGTTCCAGAAAATGCTCAACTCGCAAAAAGCTAGTCGTGGCGAGGACATCTCCAGTCTCGAAGAGGTCATCGAAAAGACCTGGGACTCCAATGCAATCACCCCCGGTACAC